TGCGCAGAGTTCCACGTTGTCAACATCCGTCCAGCTGTCATACTTTCTCCTCCCCTCTATATTAGTCAGGGTATCTGCAGTTTAAGGGAGCCAAATTTAAGACATTTTTTAAGGTCACTTTGACCAAATTTAAGCAATTTTTAAAATTAAATTTAAGCTATAATTTCTAGCCATTGCCTGGAACCGGTGCTAACCACGTCGCAAACTTGGGATTAACCATCCAGTTACCATTAAACTTGCACTTCCCCATGGCGCAAGCTCCCACTAGCTTAACCAGCTAATGTGCTCATCTAAAAATAGCCCCCTTTCACAACCAACTGAATGTGTACGGTTCCACTTACGCCAACATCATACACAAAAAATGCTGAACACTGACTAGAAATTCACGAAAATTTTATAGAAATAAAATAATCTTGTTTATTGGGTCTTTGGTAATTTAAGACCTTTGGAAACTGTATTTAAGGAATATTTGTCATTTTTAAGGATTTTTAAGGCCTTAAATTTGGAAAAGCAAATTTAAGACTTTTTAAGGACCTGCGGATACCCTGATTAGTGTGTTTAATTATTATATCATGGATTGCTATTATTTAAAAAAAGTCGAAGCTGTCCACGAAGTGGGTGATCCCACGATGGTGGAAGTGTGAGGCTGACAGAGAATCCTGATGTCAGGTGTTGATCTGCATTATAACTTCTTCTCATGCTTGTGGCAGAAAGAAATTAATCCGGATCTGAGTCTCATATGCACTTTAAGTCAATTGGTGCACCTGTGTAAACTGACCCCAACTCCATATAAACAAACTCCGCTCTGCAGGAATTTGTTTTGCAAAACAAATGTACGCCTTTGAAGTTTTTCAGCCATCATCTTAATTTTCATCCATGCAAATGCTTTGTGCTTGTTGAAATAACAATTTGCAAAAGTAAAATTGTGAGTATCTGAGGTTTTGCAAAAAGTCCTTTGTTTTTATATATAGCATGCCTTTGATGAATATTCATGATTTCAACAGTGTGCATGAGAAACCCCCCCCCCCCCCCCCCCACACACACACACACACACTCCCCTTGCCCACACCTGCAGCACAACCACTCCAAATAATGATCACAGATCTGTCTTTTGAAGATGTGTAAAGTGCTTTGATCCCTGCATGCATGCATGCCTGCACAAGCACACACAGAGTGACACATGTCGAAATGCCATTTTGAGAATGAACAGATTTTCTACTTTCAGTAAAGGCTTATTTTTTAAGGCACACTGTAAAAACACAATTACCAAAAATTCAGAACACACACATGCAAACTATTGTATGGAATCTCTAAGTAACACACAAACCATTTTTTGCAAAATATGTATTATAATGGACAGTCAGAGGTAAAGAAATACAGCAGAATCATTAAATTCAAATGCAGTGTCAGTCATTGCCCTGCCATATATGGAGAAAATAAGTCATCTATTGGAAAACGGTAAAAACTAAACATTGAATGTGTGACTGGTCTGGGAACACAGGCAGAAAAATGTATTTTTAAATTATGCTAATATTTATGCTTATTATAAAAATCTGATTTACACAGAAGTCAATGGCGCAAAAAATGCTGAAAGATGCTTAAAGCTATAAAACCAATTCTGCGTTATAATAAAGGGAGTTGAAGATTTTTTCTAATTATTTTTAGTAATTCCTTCAAAAATACACATCCTCCCCAAAAATTTGATAAATTGCAGTAACATAGCCAAAGTTATTCACAAAAATACACGTGTCAGCACAAAAAATGCTTTAATGTGAGGTAAGGGTTAAATCAGGTGTGTTGAAGCAGGGTTAAAACCAAAACGTGCTGGATATCAGCCCTCCAGGACCGTAATTGACCCCTGCTATAAGGTTACAGCCTCAAAGACTTCTCTTTTTTTTCTGAAACAGTTCATCTCAAAGTGAATTAGAATAAAAAGTAGAACTATCAAGAATACATGTATTTTACAGCTTAAACATAGTAAATTTGATCCCAGAGCAGGTATGGACAATGAACTCCAGTCCTTGAGAGCGGCTTTCAGCATTTTTTAGTTGTTTCCCCTATACAACACAGTTGATTCACCTGTTCAGCAGCTGATCAAGCTCTGTACAAGCCTGTTCATCACCTGCTGATTTAAAATAAGGTGTTTTAAAAAAGCACAGAAGCAACAAAAAAATGCCGGATAGTAGTCTTCAAAGGACCAGGATTTTTCCACTTCTGTTTTAGTTGTTTCCCTGCTTCAACACACCTGGTTTTAATCAGCAGACTAGCAGGTTTCTGCAAAGCTTGGAGTAGGGAAACTACAAAACTAAAACAAGAGCAGAGAAGGTTGCCTACCTTTGCCCTAGGGCAACAAAGAAATCCTCAAAACTACTTTGAATATTCAGTCAAGTTAAAACTGAAGATTTTATTCCCTCTTGGCAAAGGTTAAAGTTGAAAATTAACCTACTGGTATTCAGAATTAAATAATTTTTTATTTAAGCCATTAAAAATATATATATATAAAAAAACTCCCTGAGCCATCCTCATTCTCAGAATTTTCTTTTTAAAAACACTGTGATCAGACACTTTCTGATCACATGATGACCTGGACCCCCAGTCCACCCACCTTGGTCTAAATTTCCAAAGAAGGCAATGCCAGCAGGTGCAATTTTAAATTTGGCTTTAATTCTTTCATTTTACAGCATATTATTACTTTCACACAAACTCATCTTGGCATGCATTTGTCTTAGTCAAGCACAAAGGGAGAGGATTTCTTCTAACTCTTGGTCCCCATCAGATCCGTTTTCACATTTTCTCTTTCTGATGGACAAGGCTGGTGGTTCTGCAAGGGTAGATGAGCCCTCCGGCAGGACTGTCAGCTGCCAGCAGTCCCACTTTCTGATGTATAGTACAATAATCCTGACAGAAGCACGGTCCGGAGTCATGTGTAAGCGTTTGCTGGTGAAATGTTTCTGTGGACAAGATGCCAGTTTGAGAGAGGATATAACTTCAGTTTTTTACAAGATGTTTTTTACACAGCAGCATATAATGAAATACTATATTTCTTCTTGGCATATAGTTCCTACACATTAGAAAAGGACTGCAGAGAAAGCATTAATGCCACACTTTCCATACATGTGTATTTAAGTTCTTAGTCATGTTCTCTAGAATAAACATTGACAATGTGGCAGATTGAATTTACTATTTGATTATGTAAACCACTTGTTTTGTTTTTGTTGTTTACCTCCGGGTAACTGCAGACATCCACACAACACTGGAGGGCAAAAACACCATCTCCTGCCTTTATTCAGAGCTGTATCTCCGCAATTTCAGCTGTAATAAAGAAGCCTAGGGATTTAGATATTACTATTTTAGATCATTAACACATTTTTGTGCAGATGGTCAAAAAAGGAAACATCGCAGAGCTAATTGTGTTAAAATAGCTAAAGAGCTGTGGGGATGACAGTCCTCAGAACCGCCACTTTTTAAATGACAGCTGTTTGTGTTCCTATTTTGTTACCAGTGTTTACAGCTTTACTATCTGTTTGTGGGATGTCTTTAATGACTAAGAATGTGTTTTTGATTCTGTGTGCAGAGTGACTGAGTTTTGCTAATTGTGTCAATGTCCCTGATCAGAAATTAAAGGTGTGGTTCATTGAAAACCCATTTTTAATTTTTTTTCCTGATAATAATAGGTAACTGTTAATTTTCAGTTTTGCAGACTGAATATGAAAATAGTCTCCTTCACCTATCTCCTGCTTTAGCTTCTGATTGAATACAGATGGTGAAATTCTAGGATCTACATCTGGATGTCATTTTACATTTATGGACTCACTTATCTTGAATCACAAGGAAGAAGGCTGTTGTTCATTTAGCACCCAGCAATCAACACAGAACTCTCCAGGTCAGGGATGAGGCCCTCCCCCTAGTAGAGGAGTTGAAGTATCTCGAGGTCTTGTTCACGAGTGAGGGATATATGGAGCGCAAGATCAATAAGCAGACTGGTGCTGCATCTGCATTGGTGCAGGCAATGTACTGGTCTTTCGAGGAGAAGAGAGAGCTAAGTTGGAAGGTGAAGCTCTCAATCTAACGATTGATCGACATTTCTACCTTCACCTGTGGTCATGAGCTTTGGGGTGTGGCCAGAAAGAATGCCATTTCAGGTGGCTCGAGCATCTAGATAGGATGCCTCCTGGACACGTCCAACCTGGTGGAGACCTAAAGAAAAACCCAGGACACGCTGTAGGGACTATGTCTCTCTGCTGGACTGGGAACACCTTGGGATTCCCTTAGAGGAGCTGGCCCAAGTGGCTGGGGAGAGGGAAGTCTGGGCTTCCCTGGTTAGGCTACTGCCCCCGCGACCCGACTCTGAATAAGCGGAAGCGAATGGATGGATGGAAAACAGCAGAGAACGCCTCAACTAGTAGAAGCTAACCAGTAGGATTAGCAACTCCACCAGACAGCTGAACTCCTCCAGGTTTGTGTTATTTGTGGCGGTGAAACATCAACGTTACAAAGCACTCCGTGGTAGAGTTACTTTGCCGTTTGCCAATCAGAGGCAAGATGTCCCAACATCAGGAAATGAGAGTCCAAATCCAGCTGTCTACTGCCCCTTTCTTCTCTAACTGACTTCCTGAACCAAGCACATCTGAGGACACCCCACCCCCCAACACACACACACACACACACACACACACACACACACACACACACACACACACACACACACACACACACACACACCTGAGTCTGACTCAAAAAATGAGTTTAGGGTTTAGAGAATTTGGTTTAGAAGATGGAGATTAGTATTTTAGCAAATCAGAAAAAAGTATAGTTTGTATGTGTTCTCCAGGGCCAGCTCTGGGTAATTTGGTGCCCAAGGCGAGAGTGCCCATTTGCCCCCCCCCCCCCCCCCCACCCCCACCCCCACCCCACATCTCACCCAAACACAAGTCCGTACATTGGAAAAAGCAACTCCACAGTTATTCCTTAGTTACTAATTTTTTATTTTAAATATTCACACAGCAACTCTTTAAAGTCATCAGCCTGAAGAATAAATGTAAGCTTGAAAGATAAGTAACCTGAGAATATTACAATAACCGACAACTCAAAATGTTGTGCAAATGTCATTGGGGGGGATGCAAAATCAAAAGCAGCATTAAACTGTGCAATCAAAAGCAGAACTCAAATATCAAAGTGTCATCATAAAGAAAGTTCTACTTTCCATTTTGTTCAACTGCTGTGGCCAGTCAGCAGGATCCATGGGGCCAGCAGCTCATACATGTTCACAGACATCTGTTGAAGCTGATGATGGTGTCTCTTCAGACTGTTGGATTGGAGCACTGAGTCTGCTGGTGTTGGGTTCTTCTTCTGTGAGAAAATAAATACACACACACACACAAAGCAACTTAACCCTCTGATGCATGAATTAAGAACAGTGCCACTTTCACATTCAATATTCTGTCATGTGCAGTGATGCTTTACATTATTTTTAATATTACTGGACTTTTTATTTTATTGATCTTTTTTAATCTGTTCTATGAAAACATGAATACAATTATCAAAAACAGGTGGAAGTGAGGAATATTTGAAAAAACTTATGTTTCACTCTCAGGTGCTCTTCAGCATCAAATAAATCGTAGAATATGAGGAAGAAGATCCGGTGATCTGAGGCACTCTGAGGTTTTCATTTATTAAACAAGGAAACGCCGACGCGTTTCGGTACCACCTTCTTCAGGGCATAAACCTTTATACCTTGAAGATGACTCACTATGTCACAAAAACTAACGTCCATCCTTTTTTACAGATTTACAGCCTAATTGACAATAACATCTTAAGGAGACAATTTCAGATGTGTATGTTCAGATTATTTAATATTCTCAATGCTAAATCAATGCTGCACTGATTGTGCCAAAAACAAGTGTCTGGTGTGGATTTAAATAAATAAATTTTGCATATCGATATATGTGATAAGCCGTTTAATTTTAAAAAGCCCGTTTCTACTGCTGATTACAAATAGCCTAACAAGTAACTTACTCACCTGGTTCTAGATGCTGAGATTGTAGCTCAGTAAATGTGCTGCTGCTGCGTGATGCCTGGATGAAGACGCTGCAGCGTAAACAAGAAATAGACGGTATAAGATGTCGTGCTGTGTTTAGGCAGTTCTCACTCCCCGCTGGGCCCGGCGGCAGCGGGGGAGTCCCCGCCACGGCGGCGGCGGTGCCGCCCGCCCGATGTGTCGGACAAAGTTGAAAATTTGCCACACCCACACCTAGCGTTCTTCTGATATACAAATATTAAATTCATGTTGTATGCGTACTTAAAACTTGAAACAACGTTCATAAAAGGCTGCAATGAAGCTCCAAAAACCAGTAAAAAATCTTACATTCTTCATCATCACAGTGAGACTCAACATTGTCTCACTGCATCTGGACACGACGATTCAAAAGTAAAATCAATGGGTTAAAGTTACAGATACTGTATTGTGTGTGTAAACAGCTAGCGAGGGTCCGTCCGTGGACCGTGCGTGGCAGGAGAGGCAGTTAGCTACAATGCTAATGCAAAAAGTTCCTTTGCAAAACTTATAAAGTCTACATACCTCTGCTTTGGGCCCGTTTTTATTCTTCTTCCTTCCTTCGCTTTCGGAATGCTGATCCCGATGGCTTAGGCGTTCTTTTCATCGTAAAATATCAAACGTTTAAACGCGACGACAACAGGATGTCCTTCTACAGTGCCACCCACACACGTGATCTATGGCAACCTTAACGGTCAAATGCATCGGAGCGGTGGCTCAAGCGGGAGCTCGAAATGCAGCCAGATTATTAGAATTTAAATATTGATGTTTTAATTTCATGTCATTTCAAATGGGAATTTTGAGTATGTAGAGATTGCATTTCATATTACAAACATGAATTTAATAAACATTTATTTATTTATTTATTTATTTTATTTTGCGCCCTATCCATCAGATGGCGCCCCAGGCGGCCGCCTGTGTCGCCTGTCGACAAAGCCAGCCCTGGTGTTCTCAACAGCTCTTTGGTGTCAGATCAGACCATCTAAAAAGTAAGAGGATTACAGGAGAGCATAAATTCAATGTTCTGCTCTGGACTTTCAATGAAAAACAGTGACGACTAAACCTGAGGTATCCACAGATAAACAGTTCCACCCGTATATAATGTTGTGTGGGAAAGCACTTCTGCAGAGACATTATGGTGTCTGAGCAGAAAAATGGTTTTATATCAAATAGCACTTCAGATGCAAATTCTTCCATGAGAGTATTGACAGATACACGTAGAGGTCAGCGGGAGTTGTGTCGTCTTTGTAATCATTTGGAAAATAATGATGGAGTGCAGAGTGTGTGTGGCACTAGGTGTAGGAGTGATGCAGGACATTTAATGTCTTGAGGACGGTGAGACAAGGTGAGGTGTGTGGCAGCAGTGATTGACAGGTTCAATGTTCAGGTCAGAGCCATCTTTTCTTCCAGTGATGGACAGCCTGGTGAATGAAATCAGGCAAGATTCTCAGAGGACAACAGGTTTCTCAGATGACATTACGAAGTGTATGGAGAGTTTAGGACCAAGTTGGAGAACCGGGAGAGGGTAAACACACCCACATCACCCCGCTTCTCCAGCTTCATTGGCTGCCAGTCAACTTCAGAGTTCCTTTCAAGATCCTGGTTTTGGTCTATAGGGCCTTACATGGACAAGCACCATCATACATTGGTGATCTTATTAGTCCCTGCACCCCCAGCAGGTCCCTGAGGTCCAGTGATCAAAGCCTACTGGTTGTGCAGCACCAGGCTAAAGACTAAAGATGACAGATCATTTGCTGCTGTGGCCCTCCAGACTCTGGAACTCTCTCCCCCTGAAGGAGATGCGCATGCGCTGACGGCCGATTACCGGACACAGCAGCGTTTGAAGCTGATGGCAGCTCGTTAGCAAACATTCACAAACAATTCAGATGCATTTTTGCCTAATTTAAAACTGACAACGCAAAAAAATAATCTGGTAAGTATAACTCGCTCAATCTGGAGGTAAGTGAAGAAAATTTAGAAAGTTTACAGAACTTTATTGACGGAGTTTTCGAGTTATTTGTTATGGGTCCGAAGAAATCAGCAGGTGAACCTGAAACACCTGGGACGAAGCGGAGCCGCCCTCAGGACTCGCCTGAGGCCTCATCTCCCCGGAAGGACATATTGGAATTATTAGAATCCATAGATAAACGGCTTCTGGGATTTGAGGGGCGTCTTCATCTGCTTGAGGTTCTGCACCAGGAGTTTCAGAACCTCCGCCAGTCCCTGGAATTCAGCCAGGAGCAGGTGGAGCGGCTCGCTGCTGAGAACGCGTCTCTGCGGGAGTCCGTTTCTTCCCTGGAGGAGGGAATGACGCGGATCACCCAGGACAACAAAACTCTGAAGGAGACGGTTTTGGACCTTCAGGCCCGTAGCATGAGGGATAATTTGGTGTTTGCAGGTCTGTCGGAGGAGGTGGGAGGGGCCGAGGACTGCGAACGCACTGTTAAACACTTTCTCCAGACCCAAATGAAGATACCCGAAGAAACGGTAAAAAACATCACCTTCGACCGAGTACATCGCCTTGGAGCTAAAAGAGGGGACAGCAGACGACCTCGTCCCATCGTGGCTAAATTTGAACATTTTAAGCAGAAGGATCTGGTTAAAAGTCACGGAAGAGAGCTCAAAGGCAAAGACTTCAGCGTTAATGACCAGTTTCCCAAGGAAATCCTGGATCGGCGCAGAGTTCTCTTTCCGCTGCGTAAAAAGTTTATCCAAGATGGGAAGAGAGCTGTCATCTCAGTGGATAAGCTTTATGTGGATAATAAACTTTACAAGGAGCGAGGAGTGACAGACTGGCTGTATTAGCCCAACATCAGGTCAGACCTTTATTTTTCTTATCAGATTCACTGGGTTTGAGCACGTCAGTAATAAACAGCTGCTAGATCCGTGTTTTAGATGATGAGTTCACCTGTTCATCATCACCTCACACCCCATCACCTTTTCTTTCTAGTTCTTTCTTCTTTTTTAACCTGTTTCTGTATTTTCCTTTCCTCTTTTTATCTGCTTCTTTACACCTGTATGGCACAACCACACAACTTTCCAACACTGCGTCAGACTCCACACACACACACACACGCACACGCACGCACACACACAGACACACACATGCACACACAGACCCACACACACACACACACAGGAACACGCACACACACACACACACACACACACACACACACACACACACACACACACACATGGATATATTTAAGTCACAACACAATATCATAATTTATGCGTCAAATAATACAACCACAAACACTGTTGAATCCTTATTATTATTTACTTTTTTGTTATTTATTAACATACTATTTTATACATTTAGATACTTATTCCATCTTATTCACATGAAGGCGTCATATTTTAGCTACTCACACACACATCTATGGGTGCACTAAGATTTGTCTCATGGAACGTACATGGAACTGGCTCAAGAGATAAAAGATTAAAGATTTTTGATCAGTTAAAAAGAATGCAAGCAGACGTAATATTATTACAGGAGACTCATAGATCTGCCACATCGGCAGATGAACTTAAAACACCTGAGTTTCCCAGCATGTTCTCTGCCTGCTATAACTCTAGGCAAAGAGGGGTAGCTATTTTAATACACAAAAACATCAATTTCACAGTACTGGACACAGTTTCTGATCCAGAAGGTAGATTTATAATGTTAAAAATAACTATACAGAACCAACGCTTATGTATTGTGAGCATATACTGTCCAAATATTGATGACCCTCCATTCTTTCATAATTTTTTCTCTGTACTCTCCGAACACTTGGACTGTCCACTTATACTTGGAGGTGATTTTAATCTTTGGATGCATTCCTTAGACAGGCTCAGTACAGCTGGGACTCGGCGCAATTGGCAATCTACTTATATAGTTAAACAGTACATGAGTGATTATGGGCTTTGTGATGCATGGCGATCTCTTCATCCTAACCGTAGAGAGTATACTTTTTTCTCACACGTCCATCACTCTCATTCACGTTTGGATTATTTTCTAGTCAGCAGCTCATTGTTGGCTGACATTTCAGACACTGAGATACACCCTATTGTTGTCAGCGACCATGCTCCGGTTTCTTTAACTCTAGTAAACAAGAAAGCAATCCCACCAAGCAAAAACTGGAGGTTTAATACATCACTGCTTAAAGATGAAGGTTTTATAGAATTTTTTAAAAAGGAGTGGGCTTTATATTTAGAACATAATGACCTGCCTGGAACATCAGCATCTATTCTCTGGGAGGCAGGAAAGGCAGTGATGAGAGGTAAAATAATCTCTTTCTCATCACATAAGAAAAAAACAGAAAATAAACGTATCCAGGAGTTAGAAGAAATCATTAAGTCTTTAGAGACATCCACAGAAGAAGAGTTACTGAGCAAATTACGTAAAGCTAAATTAGAACTTCATGGAATTATTGACAAAAAAACACAATTTTTAGCACAAAGACTACGAATAGAAAACTTTGAACATAGTAATAAATCCGGTAAATTTCTGGCCAGCCAATTAAAAATTAATAAAGAGAAAACTACCATATCTGCTGTTAAAGACTCAACTGGGAATATAGTTTATGACCCTGAAAGAATAAACAACACTTTCAGAGACTTTTACCAAACTTTGTACTCACCACAGATAAACCCATCAGATGACGAGATCGATGAGTTCCTTGATAGGATAACACTTCCTAAATTAACAGACAGCCAAGTTGCAGTCCTGGACTCGCCACTAACATCAGCAGAGCTCCAGGAAGCCCTTAAATCCATGACTAATGGGAAAGCTCCAGGTCCAGACGGGTTCCCAGCAGAGTTCTACAAAGAATTCTGGACCATTTTGGCTCCAACATTTTTCAGAATGGTGAGGGAAATCGAAGAGAGCGGCAGATTACAGCCAAACATGAACTCAGCCAATATTAGTCTCTTGTTAAAACCAGGCAAAGACCCAGCATTTCCAACCAGCTATCGCCCAATTTCTCTTATTAATGTTGATCTCAAAATAATTTGTAAAGCCCTGGCAAAAAGATTAGAGAAGGTAACCCCCTTCTTAATACACCCTGACCAAACTGGTTTCATAAAGGGTAGACAGTCGTCCACTAATTCGCGTAGATTACTTAATTTGATAGATTTCTCTTACAGTAGAAACATAGAAACTAGTATATTATCTCTAGATGCAGAAAAGGCTTTTGATAGAGTTAACTGGAAGTTCTTGTTTGCAACTTTACATAAATTTGGTTTTGGGAACTTCTTCATAAACTGGCTACAAACATTATACAGTTCGCCAATTGCACGTGTTAGGACGAACGACCAAATATCAGCTAGCTTCTGTCTTCAGAGGGGGACCAGGCAGGGATGCCCACTCTCCCCCTCACTGTTTGCTATCTTTATCGAACCACTAGCAGCAGCAATTAGGCAAACAACAGGTATTAAAGGGATAAAGTGTAATAAAATAGAACATAAGATCAGTCTTTATGCAGATGATGTTTTACTCTTCCTCCAGAATTCTCAATAGTCTCTGTCTCATTCAATAGAACTGATAAACTCTTTTTCAAAAGTTTCAGATTACTCTATAAACTGGTTAAAATCAACAGTTCTACCAATTAATTTCTCTTTTGTCAATTTACTTAATACTCAACTGGAGTCAGGTAATATCACATACCTGGGAATTAATGTTTCTCCCAAGTTAGCAGATCTAACCAAATTAAACTACATCCCACTTTTAAAGAAAGTGGAGGATGATCTTGCTAGATGGAAATCCTTACCAATATCACTGATGGGAAGAGTTGCTACAATTAAAATGATGGTCTTACCCAGAATAAATTACTTATTTTCAATGATCCCAAACAAACCACCAGCTGACTGGTTTAGATCTCTGGACTCCTCAATTACCAAATTCCTCTGGCAGGATAAACCTCCACGAATTAGCTTAAAAACGC